CACAAAATGGTACATGGGGTCTCCGAACTTTCACTCGTAATCTATAATGCTGTTGATAAAACTGAGTAGTCTCTTCGGGTTCGCCATCTCGCCCAAACTCTTCAGCGCCACTCTCGAGAACGTCATGCGTCAACTGGAATGGGACATGGGAGTGAAGGTCGACGGCCGGCAACTACACCACCTTCGTTTTGCTGACGACATCGTTCTTATAACGCCGAACATCGAGCAAGCGGAGCGAATGCTGGCTGATTTCGACTGCGCCTGTGGTAAGGTCGGTCTACAGCTGAACTTTATGAGAAACGGATTGGTTCCCATTCACGCTCAACGGAACGAACATCACCGAATGCTCCAGCTACGTGTACCTAGGTCGGGAAATCAATATGATGAACGATCTAGCTCCAGAGCTGAGCAGGAGGAAACGAGCGGCTTGGGGAGCGTTAAGAACATCGAGGGAGTAGTGAAGAAGACGAAGAACATCCGGCTCCGTGCCCACCTCTTCGATTCCGCTGTCCTTCCTGCCCTAACCTACGCCTCAGAGACTTGGACTCTGCGCAGGCAGGACGAGCATGCGGTCAGCGTTATCCAACGCGCTGTCGAGAGGACGATGCTAGGAGTAACCCTATACACGCAAGTGCAGAGGGGAATCCGGAGTTCGGAACTACGATCGAAGATCAGGGACGCTGCCGTTTTCGCCAAGGAATCGAAGATAAGGTGGGCCGGACACGTCATGCGATTTTGCGATGACCGTTGGACCAGAGCGGTTACCGACTGGATCCCTCGGGACGTCAAACGAACACCTGGACGACCGCCGGCCGATGGTCAGACTTCTTCACGAAAGCTCTGAACGAAAGGAATGAACGGACTTCGTGTCCCTCGAGCAAGGAGGATCCACTGGACCACTCTAGCACGCGACAGGGACGAATGGAGACGTTGCTGGCGCCCGCTCGAGCAAATCGACGATCAACGGGACGACAGGTGACAGTCTCGTCGGATTGGTGACGATGTGGGTTCGTTGGGAAGAATAGCGATAGAATCGATTCTTAGGGTTCACCGCAAGTCGCTTGAAAAGAAAAGTGCTTTTTGTAGTAAATTTGATTTTGATTTTGCAGAACTACATGTGAACAGTGCGGCCTCCGTCTCGTCCGGCCGTCCCTCCTTGTCCGACATATGTTGCGCGTCCACTCCAAAAGCGCTTTTTCTTGCGAGGTAACTATACTGTTCAGAGCACCGAATCTCATAAGCGGTTCCACTCATTTCTTCATTTCTTCAATCCAGATCGAAGCTCCTAGTTCTTGTAATTATCGCATAGATGTCGATTGTGATCGGATAATATGGACATGTTGTGAAACACAGTATTCTACCAGGTGAGATTTTTTTTATGAATTTCTTTCCTATTTGTCGTTAGTCGAGTCTCAGCTTTGCAAACTAAGCTAGAACTTTAGGCGTGAGTTCCTGGCGCATCGAATGAGTAACCATCTTGCTGAGTTCGTTGACGGTTCCCCTATAAGTGAATATCAGGAGTGCCAGCCTGCTCCACATCCGAACGAATCGCCTGGTGCTGCTTTGCTTTCTTTTCTTTTCTTTTCAAATGTTACTCGTCCCTTACTCGTAGTGCTTCACATTCAAATAGCAACACTGTTCAAACTTTTGTTTATCATCGTCTTTCATTTCATTTAATATAAGGGTATTTCTTGAAGTAACATAGGCTGTATTACAGACAGCAACATTGATTCCGGTGCCGAGATTGGTATGGAAAATACCGACGGCAGTTCAATGTATATGGATCAGATGGAATCCACATCGGATGGCATTATGCAGGTTTGCGAGTACCTATATCAAGCTCTATTGGGGTTGTTATTTTGTCTGGTCTCAGGTTGTTGTTCCTGAGGAGATCATGGGAGACGGCGGAGACTTCTATGTTGTAATCGACAATAATGAGCATTTGAATGGTGAAGGTGTGAATGAGGTCTGGTTTGTTAACCTCAGTCACTTTTTCGCACGGGTATTCTCGTATCTTTGCCATAGTTGCTTATCACGTGTTTTGGCCATGAATGCAAATCGTTTTATTTTTGATTTAGCAGTTAAGCAATGGCCAACAGCACCTGCAAATGCATCCCGATCAAAGGCTCTCATCGTCTAATCTTTTGCAAGAAATTCTCATTGATGAGCACCATGAGGTTTGTAAAATATTGAGTTCCTGACCATGACGCAGCTGTCTCTTTCCAAAGGTGAAATAGAGTTTGGGCAGACTAGGAACCACATATTTGGCTGCCTTTGTTAAGATTATCTAATCTTATCATAACACGTTAGTACAAAAAGACGTCAATTGACTCACTTCCTATTTCGGCTTAACGGTCCATAGGCATGGTTAGAAAAATTCCAGTAATATTCAATGCTGAATTTAAGATGAAATGAAAATTTTCAGAATGGAGGAGCATTCGTTGAAATTACCGCTGAGCAATACCAACAGCTGCGGTTACAGTATGGTGACAGCCTTGTTGACATGGTTCGTTCATTCCAATCTTAATTATTTGTACAAAATATCTGCTTGCTTGAGTATGTCGCGTCCATTCCAACAAATGGAGCTCTCCATTTTAATCATTGAGGTATATGTTTTTTTCAATGAAAAGAGTTCAAGATGTAAGTAGGAAATTTCGGGCACTATTCCCACTATTACATGCCCCAAGAATCTCAAAATTTATTTTTCGTCGAAACTTTGCCTATAAGGGTAGTTTCGATGCCCTGATTACGAATATGACATTCATTTTTGATGCTGGCGCCACCTTGTCACGACGGCTGTTTTCACGAAATTCGGTGTAAACTTGTACATAGGGGTTATTTGGTGTCCTGATTACGAATATGACATTTATTTTTGAGGCTTGCGCCATTTGGCGCCCATTTTCTGCTCGTCTGCGCCCTCGCACTGGGTTGATCACTATCAGGACTAAGCCCTTGGGGAAAGGAGGGCTCAGAGGTGAGTGAGCCACTCACCCTGATATCACACACTTCAACTTTTGTCACATGCTGCGTGGTTTACCCACCTCGGAGTCCTCCTTCTCCAATAAGCTTAGTCTTAAGCACAATGTGTGAGTGAGAGAGCCCAGGAGAGCAGAAAATATGCGTTAGACAGCGCCAATTCCAAAAACGAATGTCATATTCGTAATCAGGACACCAAATAACCCCTATACAAGTTTACACCGAATTTGGTGAAAACAGCCGTCGTGACAAGGTGGCGCCAAATGGCGCCAGCAAAAATGAATGTCATATTCGTAATCAGGGCATCGAATTACCCCTATAGGCAAAGTTTCGACGAAAAATAAAATTTTGAGATTTTGGGGCAGTAATAGTGGAATAGTGCCGAAATTTCCTCTGTTCTGTTTCAATGTATAGGTGGCCCCTTTCCCATTTCAATATTAGCTTGGCTAGAGATGAGCAATTACTGACAAAAAATTGTCCATGTAAAGCATTTTTGGTTATTCCATGCGTAAAACAATGACTGCGTTGTGGCACTTTTCCATAAAAATGCCCAGGGCAGAGGAAACTCTAGGCTGGTGGTGAGAGAGTGACGAGAAATGGACGTTGTTCGCCAATGAATAAAATCCCTTGTAGTTAGGCAATTCTGGCTATCCATTATCACTAGAGCTCGTAATCGGACTCGGTCAAACACAAGAGGATGCTGATGAGATGACTTACCAGCGCACGTCCTTGCTGAGGTCAAGTAAGCGAATACCTCGATGATTTGATGTGGATATCCGTTGATAATGGACTATGATTGCCTTTCTTAAAGGAGTTGAGTTTTGGCGAACACTCCCTCACCCTCAGCCATAGTGTTTCCTCTGCCTGAGGGCCGTAAAGGTATGCTTCCCCGAAGGGTTTGGGGACGAAAATCCCTGTAGATTTGCTCTGTCATCAAAACTGGGATTGTCCTGATAAAGGGCCTACATTTCATATGTGTGTAGGTTAAAGTGAACATAAGTATCGTTCAAAACAAGAAAACTTCAGGGGATTTTTGCCCCCAACTATTCGGGGAAACATACCTTCCAGCCTCAGGGCGTTTTTACGGAAAAGTTATAACGCGTCAGTATTTTGCGCACAAAATAATGAAAAGTACTTTGCATGCACAATTTTTTGTACAAGCACGTCCTAAAATCAGTAATTCTCAATCATCTTCTCCTTAATTCTGGAGCACCCAAGTTTGGATTTTGATATTGAAGTGGAAAGTCACATTGGTGGTTTTTTCATCTTTCAGGATGTAATATATGTAAATGATGATGTCACTAAAAACGAGTTGGTGCAAGATTCGGATGACCGTCCAGCAGAAGCTCTCCACAGCTGATCGTCGCTGCGAGGAAATCATGCTGATCTATGATAGCCGTTACTGCCCCATTTTACGGGAAACGTAACAGGGTTTTGTTCAGATGACGAAGGTTCATGCTCTTGATTCACTGATTTGTTGGTCCCATATACGGGTTTATTGGAGTCATTAAAATTTGACTATTTGTTATGCTTTAGTCATATTTCCAAAAAAAAACTGTACAAATTCATTACATCAAATGTTAATACTAATAAAATAGTAAAAATTGATCGTTCTTATCACAGGCTCTGAATCGATGATCACATGATATCGGTATGTACATAGTTAATGAGTAAAACATGCTGATATAGTTTAGAGAAGACAGGACCCGAAGAAGTAACACGAAATAGGTGATTCACGAGGATTTCAATAGACAGAGGTTGAAGTCAAAACTGACTCCAAAGACAGTGAATGGGACTACGACACAGCACGGCCTCTGTATTCCTGAGTTAATGAGTGCGCATAGTTTACTATTACAGAAGAAGCCGCGATAGAAAAAGACATATAGCGAAGTAGAAGCATTCAGAAGAAGACAGACCCGAAACGCTGCCTAGGCCTTTGAGATGACGGTAGTAGGTCAACGGGAAGCATCAGGAAAGAGCTTTCCTCCGGTTTGTCACTGCTGCCACTGCTCACGCTAGCGCTACACACCTGAAAAAGAGTGAACTTGCGGTAAATAGGATTTGTAGGAAATCCCAAACGAAGTCGAACGAGGAGGAACAGTAAAGGTGTGTATAATGGGACTTAAGGGCATCGCACACAGGGTTCTGTTCCTTCATTTTGATGTTTGATGTATGTATAGCAGTTGTTTGTAAAAATAACGAAATAAGTGGGAATTTCTCCTTTTTGTTGAAACTTTGTAAAAAAAACAATGGAAATCTCAAATTAATCTAATTCCCCGTTGAATTCTTCGGAGTTTTCAAGACTGCAAAATTGCTTCGGCAAAGCGGAGTAGTGTGAGAACGAAAAGTTTGCAGTTAATATGTTGCGCTTTTACTTTTGGGCTCAATCTCGTTCTGTCCAAAACTGGTTTTGACCACACCCCCGCGTTCCTGCCCTATTCTAGGAATCCAATTTTTGACAAAAGTTTCTTCGAAATGTTTTCTGGCGGTGGACTTCAGTAAGTTCTAGCTTTGCTGCGATCGTGGGCAACCGATCATTGTGTGCAATAATAACCCACGGTCTCCGTGTACGATGATCTTAACTGTGTCCCGATTTTGCAAAAGCTTTTTTCGAATATTTAATACATGTTCCTCTGCGTTCGAACTCATCCGGGCACATCCTCGGCTAATTCTGATCTAATTCTAATGACTCACTAAAGTTTGAGAATCAGAAGGGCTGAGTTCTTCGAACTGAAAATATCTACTAATCGTTATTGATTAGGGCACGTATGAAGAAGAAAAAGATAATCAAAGTTAAACATCAAGATAAAAAATAGGAAAAAAAAGAAGTAAATTAAATTATTACAAGAGATATCCAAGGGGTGGTGGAATCAGGCATTAATTGAAGAAAAAATTGGAGTAGTAGAGAAACATAACGCAGGAGGAAGAGGGAACACCAGTAGAGCATGTCTTACGGGAGACGCAGACACTGGTACGCTGCAGAAAACGGAAAAAAAAGTAAAAATATTACAGTTGCAAACGCAGCACAGGAATGAAAAGATAAGTATATAGAGTCAATAATACCGACGGACAATATTGAGAATACAGTGAACACCAAGATGCCACGACCCTTGTGCTAAGCGGCCTTGCTATCTCACCCACGGGAAGTTTGCTCAAAGTATCTCACTGCGACCCATGCGTTTGAGCTTGTTGGGGACATATCAGAGCTGACTTGACATAATCGAAAGAGCTGACATACCCCACTGAGGTTCAATGGTCTTTTAAATAATAAAAACAAACCGAATGTAGCAAAACGAAGAAAATAATCGCATCAGTTGACCTTCAAGTTTCATCAGATACGAATCTCGCGTAAAAATATATATGAATCCACAAAAATCCGCAGTAAAAATTCAAAAACAACAACGAAACAGAATGGAACCTAACTTATTTATATATAACCACAGATATATTGAAAGAATTAAGTGACATAATAATAAACAAAATACCTCAAATAGGGCAACATAAACAAAATGAAGTGCAAATGTTAGAAAGCTAATACGACGAAAAGAGATCGATTGACGAGGTCTCTGTCAGGTACTGCTCAATCTCTCACTGACGGCTGGCCTTGCGCTTTCTTGTTGTGTAGGCCAGAACAGACCTAGAAACTGGCCGTGCCAGCGGGCTTTCTGCTAAACTTGATTGGGTGTTACAGCGGGTATCCATCCTACTATATATAAGCGGCTAGCGTGTGTCTGTTGGTGTGTGTGTGTGTTTGACCGGAAATTCATAGCTCGAGTCACAGTAACGATAGCGCAGTGGTTCTTACATATGTTATAGGGGGTGGGATGGGGACACAAGTGGTACGTGATAGGAACTGATAACGACTGATAATAGCTGATAAGAGGGGCTAGAAAGCGAGCATCGCCAATTTCGTTTTGCCGTTCATATTGGTAAAAGAGCGTCTATACTTACAAGTCTTATGTGGGGCGGTCCCGGGACATTGGTGGTACATGATTGGAAGCGATAGCAACTGATAATGGCTGATAAGATGCGCTAGAACGCAAAAGTCGTCGATTCCGTTGCCTGGCTCGCGTTGACACCAGAGCAACCATACTTACAAGTGTTATGTGGGGTGGGACGGGGACATTGTTGGTGGGTGCCAGAAACTGATAACGATTGATAAGGGCCGATAAGGCGCGCCAGAACGCTGAAGTCGTCGATTCCGTTGCCTGGCTCGCGTTGACACCAGAGCAACCATACTTACAAGTGTTATGTGGGGTGGGACGGGGACATTGTTGGTGGGTGCCAGAAACTGATAACGATTGATAAGGGCCGATAAGGCGCGTCAGAACGCAAAAGTCGTCGTTCCGTTACGCAGCTCGCGCTTGACACTAGAGCGTTCATACTTCCGAGTTCTATGTGGGGTGAGACGGGGACATTCTTGATAAGTGATTGAAAGTGGTTGCAGCTGATAAGGGCCGATGCGCGTCAAAACGCTAAAGTCGTGATCGCGTTACCTAGCTCGCGTTGATACTAGAGCGTTCATATTTACAAGCGTTATTGGGACGGGGACATTGTTGGTGGGTGCCAGAAACTGATAACGATTGATAAGGGCTGATAAGGCGCGTCAGAAACGCAAAAGTCGTCAATTCCGTTACGCAGCGTTGACACTAGAGCGTTCCTACTTACAAATTGTAGTAAGTCGTAGTAGTACAAACAAAGGTACGTGCACATTATTTCGATATATATCCAGCTTACTTAATAGAATTCGACTGCATAAATTTAAAAAAACAAGTCTTCAGCAAATGATTTCATTTTGACTATCAAGAAAACCCAAACTCATTAAACCGCTAATCCTTTCGGGGTTCTAAATAATGGTGAATGTAAATGAATGATAAGCATTAGCTCCTCACTTATGTAAATAGGCATATTTCGTTTTGATTTTGAGACTGACAGCAATCCTATTCACCGCTAAATTATCTTAATTCAAGAAAAATGCTGGATGTTTACAGTTGTGATCAATATACCACAGCTCAGACGTTATCACGCGTATTCTCGATGAGCTTCAGTGAAACTGTGGAGGGTCTAACACAGTCAATAGTGAGATGGTTAATGGAGTATCTCATGCTGATATTCCATGGGTCCTCCAATTTCGCTAAAGCCTGCCGTGTGATGCGCGCGATAGCGGGCGAAGCAAAACTGGTAAACATATGTTAAGGATACCAATTGTATAAAGAACTTAAAGGCATGCCCCATGAGGATTGCTGTGGTTTTTGCACACGAATACGAATGCATTGGTGCGGAATGGGCCGGCAGGAAAGGGAAAAGGAAAAGAATTCGTGCAGAATAGGTCGGCTTACTCGCCTTCGTTGTCGGCCGTACTAGGGCGATGAGAGACCAAGCGCAGAGATGAGAGTATGAGTCGAGGGAGCGCAACAAATGAGAGGGCGCCGGACACATCTATGATGGTCCATTAGGGGCTATCCTACGTACCGAAGGCAGTCGTTCACACGACTTCTGCCTAGGTTCTGCCTTTAAAGCTTGGTTCGCGCGCTTATTCAACATTATTATAGAGCTTAAAAAAGCACACGGAACCAAACTCCCTATATCACTACCCGAGGGAATAAGAACGCAAACGTACCTCGCTATTGACGCTGGGTCGCAGTCCCACCGGCAGTCAGCTGTCTTCGTCAGCGTCTTCCGGGGTCTCCAGGTCCTTACCGGCACTGCGCATCGTCGCTAGCCGATTTTCTTGTCGATAGAAATGTTTGAAGTTCGCCACCTGCGATTAGCCATTTACAGATATTCCGTTTATTTGGCTGGTTAAAACAAAAGCGAAGAAAAGCATACAATTATCGGGACCGGTAACGCCAGTGTGAGCACTCCGATCAGAGCGCACATTGAGCCAACGATCTTACCATGAGTGCTCAGTGGAACTAGATCGCCATATCTGAAAAATTACTGATTATTTTGATGAAATCGCTGGTGACGTATTAGTTACACAGCGAATCACAGCACGATCACAATCACTAAGACACTTCGTGACGCTGATTTTAGTCACAACACATTATTAGCACCATTTTGCTTACCCGACTGTTGTCATGGTCACCTGTAAGAGTAGAGCATTAAGAAACGCTCTTTGATTTTGTACAGAATCAAAAAATGAAATAGTGTTTGCTGCGGATTGAAGGCGGAGCTCACCATGAAAAGTTAGCCTATAAGAAATCAAGAAGAGGAGGGCAATGGCGCTAGAACGAAGAAAAAACGAAGAAAAGCAGCCTAGAACCCTCGAAATAGGACCCTCCCCTTGCTCAGTGATATCCGCATTGGTCCGAGTTTCCTCAGTGCTGCCCTTATCACCACTAATGTTCTCTCTGCTAAACGGCTAGAGTCAGACAATGAAGGTTACCCATTGGTGAGAGTTCAGCGGCACCAGCGGCGCAGGTACGGCCTCTGCTAACAATAATTCGTATAGCATACATTATACGAAGCGCCATCTTCTCCCCACCCGAGGGAACCTCTCTCCCACTCAACTAGTACAGTACATCTACTTCTTCGACCTTCGACCTTATCGTGGAATCCTTCCCATGAAGGCTCCTCAGTTACTGCCTTCATCAGCTCCTCCTCACACACATGTGTGCGAACTATGCAAAATCCGTTGTGAAGCGACTAAAAAGCGACATGAGTTGAACTATTTTGGTAGGCGTGAAATCTCGTCAAGGATCCTAGACGGCACGTCGAAGACCTTTCGCCTGATCACTTACGCTCTCCCTCGCCTACATTCAAACTCGCCATGCGCGAGCCGTCCGTGCTCTCCGCCGTAGGTTCATTCTCTTACTCTCGCACAGTACAGAGCCATGGTCGAGGATTTCCTCGATTGTTATCACTACCCTTTTTGATAACTACTAACTAAGAGGTTATTTGTTTATTTTGGAGGATGACATTACTTGCGAGTTCTGTGGGTCCTATGGAGTCCTAAGGGAGAGATAAGGCCCCTACTGAGAGGGATTTTGAAGATGGGGGTTTTCTTCTAGAAAAAGTACGAAGTAGAGGGATGGATAGCATTTCTGTCAAGGCTGCTCATACACCAACTGGGTGAATATGCTTGAGGATTCCTCAACGGCACGTCGAGGATTTTCGCCTGATCCTTTACGTTCTCGCGCGCGATATTCACTCTCGCCACCCGCGAGCCGTCTGTGCTCTCCGCGCGTACATTCACTATCGGCTCTACTCTCGCACAGCAGAGAGCGATGGTCGAGGAATTCCTCGACCGTTATTCACCCTGACACCAACCCCGCCAGCTTCACTTCGTGTTTGGGCGGAAAGTTGTAACAAGTGATAGCACGCACCTGGCACTAACACATATCACCCTAGGAGGGGAAGGGCGTTTTCACGTAGAGGGTCATTACCATTCCATATCGTTCTCGAAAAAGATCCATTAATACTGCTTAAAAGGTATAAATATTTGTCGGTAAAGCACGTGGTCCAGGCTCGAGCTCTGACCAGGACGGGATGTTTTCCTTATTCCTCAACGAATAACATTGAGAGATCCTACTCAAAAATCAACAATCAAGAAAGATATTTTGCTCCTGCGAAGTAAGTCCATAACAAATGGATGCTATTTCTGCAAAAATAAAGGTGTAGGAGTCGGAAGCTACTGGAAAGTTGGGTAATTGACGATGCTGAGAACTCACCAGTACAAACCAGAACGATGCCGGTATAGAGGTGAATTTCGAATTTGGCTCTCCTTGTTCGGCGAAATACATCCCTGATGAGAACAGCACCAAAGCTATCGCCATGAAGAATATGAGCAAACAAAACTCCTGCACCGACGCTCGGAATGTTTTTCCGAGAATTTGTAGACCAGCTGAGTGTCTGAAATGTGTAGAGGTACACGTAAGGATAGTCGCTAGTTGGACAAATAAAACACTTTACTACAAAACGATATTTTGCCTAGCAATGGGAGAGCATCTCAAGAAAGGATAAATCATAAGATAATGAGAACCTCACCAGCTGCGCTATTTAAAGGAATCTTTCCACGGACCATGGACCAGTGGGCGGACCGGAAGTGGTTTTGCGACGAAATGCATGGTAGGTACGGATCCACGTTCATGGGAAGTTTGAAGTGAATCCTGTTCACGTTCGTGCGTTCGACACTTGACCGGTGAACCCCGGGGGGGGAACTCCCTTTTGCCAAACCAAGATAAGATAGATCCGTACCCTACCATGAATTTAACTGCAAGATCCCGTACCTACCAATGCATTCGTCACAACAAACTTCCGGTCCCGCCACTGTCCATGGCCGTGAAAGATTCCCTCAAAAAAACAGAGGAAACCCGAAAGGCACCTGCAGGAAGCCCCTCTCATGCGGTGACTTGAGCATCGCCAAGCCTCAAAACGGAAACAAATGAGGCCCCATGAAAGTAGAGCAACGACAGAAATGATAGTAGGGCGATTAACACAACAGCCACCACATCCGTCGACACCACCCATTTAACAGCACCCGGTAAGAAAATCTGAGTCGACGGAGTGCCGCAACCGCCAACGGCAGCAGTGTCTGGTAACACCATTGATCCTGAAATCGGAGAGATCCGCGGCACAACCCGGCCTCACGTCTTGCATCCTTTGGGAAGTATCACCGAAAAAACAAAACAGGGCGTAAACAACCTATGACACAACGCCCAAAAGATGAAGCTAAAGCATGTAAAGCGCTTCGTCCGCCATCACCTTAACGCCGAGCGACACTAATCTGAAGTATCTACTACAGTGAGAAGTGTTGCACATAACTAGAGCTGACGTAACGCATATGCGCGTATACAAGTGGAGTAGTATAAGGATAAAGTAAAGGAGCGTCATCAACACAATCAATATGCCGAGTGCTCTACGTAGAATCCATCATTCAAAACACTAAGAAAATACCCACAGATTCCTACCGAAAAGACAGAAATGCCGCGCGAAAGAACACCGAGAAGACCCAAGTAACCCTAAGCGTCTACCATCCCACAGATGAAAATAATCATTACCTGCTAAAAGCATTGTCGTGATCAACATTCCCCTTTCTGCAACTTTTGCTAGCAGCACCAGCCCTAGTCTCACGGTGCTACGATATGAGATACATTCATATTTTCGTACTATCGGAGCGTTCGAAAGCAAACGAAAGAAGACCTATTACAAAAATGACTGCGGCCGCGCCAGCCATGTATTAATAAGAGAGATATGATCATTGCGCTCTTTTTTAGAACGAAACACACATATTAACCAACTCCACTGCCGTCGAAGGCGAGAATGTAAGGCGCGCGCCGCACGCGGCTGAACTAGTTACACGATACAGCGAGCTTTTGCACACTCGATTCAGATCGATCCTCCGACCGCGCCTGGTAACGTCACCATTAATGCCACAACCTCTCTTCACTACACGGGGAAGTCGAGTAACAAACCTACTATATATATGAAATAAACCACATATCACACATATCGAAAAGCGCAACAAACTCGCGGGGGATCCATCCTCCGCGCCATACCAAGCTTCTAAGCCTTCATCCCACCCGTCTTGGTACATCCCAACTCGAAAGCATCTGCAAAACCCTGCCCCTTCAACCGGACCATATTAAATGCTGATTGGCCCCATAAAGAGTAGCCTCGCTGAGCTCAACGGAGAATATTTGCGCTCATGCTCTGTAGAGGAAATTCGGCCGCTTCCCCACCGCCAGCCGCTCGCAAATGAAGTGAAATGCGTGCGTAAATCGCAGTAACGTAGTAATCTAGCGTAAATCGCATTTTCACCATACACTCGACTGATTGTTTCGAAGAACAAATCAATAACGAAGGATTCAGACACAACGAGAGATACCTACAACTATATGGACTATAGCCGCGGCATCCTGATCACTCGCCCCTATTCTTTGGTATAGCCATGCATCTCACATACGTACAACAGTCTCGCTGCCACGAATCTCGTCCCATATAGCGATCACAAATCAGACATTGGTATATTTTGCATAGCATACATTATACGAAGTTTCACGAACCAAGTTGAGAACCGCTGCATTGAACATTTCGTAACTCCTATAACCTGAGGAACAGCTTCATTTGCCCAGGGCCTTTCCTTCACGGTTGTCGTTTTTGCGACAGCGTCCCTAACAACAGTGTCATTCTCAACGAGGTATTAGGGAGAAGGAGCGGGCGGTAGATAGAGGAGGTGCCTTTGCAGCGCGTGTGCACATGTGGCCCTGTTCCTTTGCGGGATGCACTTTCATTCTTTGTACTGCCTTCAAATACGCCCTTCTCATGAAGGTGGAGGAATGGAGCGACTGAACCTGCAAAGAAAATTTTAATATCATGTTTTTTCGCATATTTTCGTTTTCTGCTGCGCTATCCCTCCTATCTGCACCATGACGCCACTGATGCCTGACAAGTACGACCCCCTTGTCGAGGATTTCCTCGACCGATATTCACCCTGCTACCACCTATTTTAGGAGACAGGCTTCAAGGGGGAAACGGGTCCACAATCCGTATGCCCTTCTTTATAGATTCCAAGTTACGAAGTCGCTATAATTTCTGCAGTTGCCTGCCATTTAGATTACTGATGGAGGGCATGGTTGCACCCAGCCAATCGTGAAAAAAGTAACAAGATCTCAGAATTTTTCCTCCTTCTATGTAATTGCCGTGGTTCATCTAGAGACGCGTATAGAGGAAGGAAAACTACGGCAAATTAATTCTTAGAAAGTTTTAGTAAGAAAAAGAGAATACCTGCTCAGCTTGAATATTCGAAACACTCGCACGAGCCGAAGAATTCGAAGCACTGCGAAGGACATTGATCCACTCGACTTATTAGCGTCGGCCCTGAAAATTCGTAGTCAAAATAGGAAAGGGAACCGTTCCAGTCGTATTCTTGTGAAAGTTTACTTCAAAAGTAGAAACGTAAAATTAAAACATAGCAAAGGCTGTCGTATTTCCTAATGTAATCGAGGCGAAGAAGTAGTGCTTATAAAATGACGTGTGACCAAAAGGGTAAAGGGATTCGTGTTCAGGCTTTGGTAGAAACTTTCCATAGCTCTCACCGGGTGTAGACGTCGGTGGAAAAATACCCTAATTTCCGGTAGATAAGCCCGCGCCGATTCACGTAAAAACACCTCCGCTCGTGCAGTGTAATTTTGTACACCTTAGAAACTACCGTAAATTTGCCTATAGAGGTAATTCGATGCCCTGATTACGAAAATGACTTTCATTTTTAGCGGTGGCGCCATCTGGCGCCAGTTGGCGTCACCTTGTCACGACACCTGTTTTCACCAAATTTGGTGTAAACTTCCGTATAGGGGTTATTTGGTGTCCTGATTACGAATATGACATTCATTCTCGGCGCTGGCGCTATTTGGCGCCTATTTTCTGCTCGTCTGCGCTCTCCAACCGAGAAATATGCGTTGAACAACGTTAATGCCAAAAACGAATGTCATATTCGTAATCAGGGCACCAAATAACCCCTATACAGAAGTTTACACCGATTTTGGTGAAAACAAGGGTCGTGACAAGGTGACGCCAACTGGCGCCAGATGGCGCCACCGCTAAAATGAATGTCGTTTTCGTAATCAGCATATCGAATTACCCCTATGGGCAAGTTACGGTTGTCTCTAGATGTACGCAAGTGCACTGCACCAGCGGAGGTGTTTTTACGTGATATCGGCGCGGGCTTATCTACCGGAAATTAGGGTACTTGCCGTGAAGAAGAAAGTGGGGGGAGGGGGGAGGGGCGGAGGAGGCGGGGGAGCGGGGAGTGCCGTGGGAAGGGGGTATGCGAAAGGCCTGTTCTTGACTTCTTTTGGAACGGCACTCTGTCCAAATGAGCAGTGTTTGTTAGGAAAGTGTGAAAGAGTGGGATGGTTCCGAAGAGGAATGGCTGTTAGCAAATCGCAATTTTTTTCAAGTTTTGCGAAGCTTCTTCGGAATTTACTAGCGTTTCGTGTGGACGTAGCCAAACCCTCCGTTCGCTCGGAAGTTCGAAGAAGATGGAGATAGACCAAATGACAAGCGATATAGGGAAGGGACCAAACAAGTGCAGAAACCACGCGTGATCGTGTTTGATCCTTTTCCTCACAGGGCAGTACGCTAGTGAATGGTCGCTCATGCTTTCTAGGCAATGAGAAGTGTCTTACTATCTGCAGTATCAGTTGCTGCAATTTCACCAATTTTTTACACACGAAATGCTCTAACGAGGGAGGTCTTTCAGGTGGACCCGCGCTTTCTCAAAACGGTTTTTTGCATGATGTAGAGGGATGTGTATGGAGTACAGAACTGTAGTCCATTTCCGCTAAATGGCTCTCTGAATGCCAAAAAAGGTTTGGTAAAAACTGGCCAATTTTGTTGCGTCAAATCACACTGCAAAAAAATTGTCATCGCAGGGAATCGAACCGAGAACCACTTGCTCACCCCTGCCTTTTTTTGGGGCGTTCAGAAGCAAAGCGTGAAATGGGAACTACAGTTCTGTATACCGTGGCACATCCGCTCTACACCATGCAAAAACCGTTTGAAGCGTCGGGTCACCTGAAAAGATCTCCCTTTTGTAAGTTTTTGTTTAACAACTTTTCGCAGGCATAGACATAATCTTCGAGCAAAATAGTTGAAAGCCGGGAACGCACCAGATGAGATTCACGAAGAATGGAGCGATTGCGACAAAGTCGATGATGTTGAGGAACGACATCAAGAATTTCACTTTCGACGGGCAACTGATAAATCGGAGTGTGAGTTCTGAAAAAAATAAGGCTATCAAAAAGGGATGAAAAAGCAAAATGACAAAATCTAAAAACGAACCGATCGTAAACCAAAGATACACGAACGAGTTCTAAGCCAGAAGAACGGATTCCAAAGCGGCCTGCCATCCTCCTTGTCCGAAGACGTCGCGTTCAATGGTAAAGTTGTGTTTACTTCACGGACGTCTCCAGAAGGTACCGTCTCCCAACAAAACGACACTATTGATCTGAAATTTGGGATAGCAAGGCAGTGCAATAATCTATTGGCACATTAGAACACTCACATTACGATGACAAAGATGGAGATGAAGGCGACGATTCGAGCAGCGAGGGAACTGTCAGGGTACTCCATTAGTTCCCATAGCCTTCGCTGGGATTGGTTCGTAGGCAGAACGGTCTCCGCGGGTTTTTCATAACCCTCAGCAATCCAAAACTCCTCAATTAATTGTTCTCCCATCTGAAACCATTACAATCTTTACTTTAGGAATTGAATTCTCATCTTCCTATAAGGGCATATTCGAGATTTAGAGACTTCAACACGCTTTTGGTGAACTGCGTGCGCCCCTTGTGAGAAAGAATTATCGACGGTTGAATTGTGAAAATTAAAAGCGCTAGCCTTAATGGGGATCGGTGCTCAGAAGTAGTTTGCGCGTTTGCTTCTTGAGCGGGTTCGGAGGAGCAAGAGGCATTCCAAAAGTCAAATGGTTCCGATCACTGTGCGCAGAGACCTTCAGAATCAGATTTTGAAGTAAGAAACTCCCGGAATCAGTCCATCTACTAGGAAGGATACTGCGAGGGAAATTGTGAGGTCCGTAACTACATAGATCATGCCAACTTCGTCGCACAATTTGCGTGATTTAGGCGCTAATCTCACGGGTCTGCAACCGCCGACCCCGTTGCAACGCTCCCCTCCCTCCGCGATTGATGTAGAGATCAGCGTGCTTTCTGAAGTGGCGCGCTCTCTTGCGTGTTTTGTCTTCTCTGATCGCGCTGTCTCGCCGACGTACCACATCCGACCTTACTGAGGGTTAGGGCCTTAATTTTGAAGTCTCCGATGATTTCTCTTCATCTTCCTTCCGCTTTCGGTTCATTAAGAGGCTCAGCCATCAGTAGGAATCGCGTTTTTATATGCCAGTTTCGTCCCGTGGCTTGCCTTTAAGGAAGTGGATGGGAACTTGACCACGTCGTTAGCCGAGCTGGCAAGGGATGGCTCTTGCAAGGCCTTCTTTCCCTGATCTCAAGAAGACTAATAGGGAAGCATGATGGGTCAAGTAAATATATGCAGTGAGATCACATATGGTAAGCACATCATGTGAGAGCGACAGGGATAAGGTTATGCTACCTGAGAACAAGGTGTTGGGATCAAGGTAGGTAAGGAAAGCAAGACATGCAGGAGTCGAACGGATTCAAACGTTGGTAGGAATAAACAGCTAAGAGTTCAGTATCGAGGAGAAGCGGAACACGGAAAAGTAGCCAATACGTAGACGGATTTTCCCGTAGATACCCTACTGTAAGGAGAACAGGACAACGACATCGAAACTCCAGATTTTATACAACCCAGATTAGTCCCCCGTCAACCGCCGGGACCTTCCTTTCCTGCGCAAGCTTTCTATCCTCCGCTATGGTCCCTTCCTCCTGTGACACCAACACCTCCTGGAAGTGACGCGTATGCAACACAATGGTGTTTCATACAGTAGAAGGGACACAATCATGATATGACGGTAGATTTTTCGCTTCCCTTCCTCATCCTCCCTTCCTCTCTCCACTGCCCTCCAGCTGCCACTGCAGCACCATGTGGAATGACCGGAAGTGTGCTAAGCAGGTGTTTATATAGCCCTAAGAGTGTTATCACAACTATCCTGCTACAAAACATTGATATCTCAAATCCTGTAAGCTACCCGATTTGTTAGCGGTTTGTTTATCCCATGAGCTTCCTTCTCACTCACTTCATTTTGCGGACGGACACACATACATACATACATACACACACACATACACACATACACAAACCGACACACCAAGTTAGCGAGTTTATGCAATAGAAGGATACTTCCTTCCAACAGGAAACGGAAGCGCGACGTGAAATTCATTACGGTTTCATGTTCAGAATATCGGAAAGTCATTCGCCAATAACAACCGGTTTTTCTGAGGCGCGCACTCGAAGACTCTAATTGTTCTTATGTAGTACCCAAGTAAACTTGCATGAAAACAATAACAGAATTCCTGAAACTATTTTTTCAACCAGAAGAGAAAATGCTCACCTGAAAAAATCGCATCTTCTCTGAGAAAGAATGTCGATAGACACGGATTCTGGCCGCTTTACACGACCTCCACTTTGATAGATGTAGAGAATGGATTCGAATCTGCAATGGACATGTTCCCGAAAGATAAACAGGCAACCGGTGACAGAAGGGACACTTTATTACTCGGAAACGCTGGGAGTTATTGAGGCAAGTGTTAGAACTGGTAAGGACAATGGGACTGCAATTTTTTGTAGAATTCTGGTTTCTACGTGTGTTTCAGAGAAAAATATGTACATGAAATTGACTTTTATTGAATTTAATAAATTTTGTATTTATTGCTATATCATTATATGGGGTCAGACAAAGAGTAATCTAGTTCTCGTTTCGCACGTGTCCTTACCTATTAGACGTCGAAAAACACGCACTTCTCCGGTAGCTTTCCTCTGCTTTTTTGCTTCGCTGTCAAAAAATGAGAATTCATGTTAACTAAATATAAAAATTGTACTTCCTTCTCGTAGCTGTGTGCTGCCTTCAAAAATTGGTCAGGGCCAATGCGATAATCGCCTGAAGTATCTTATAGAGCTCTTTTCAGCACTACGAGATCTCGGCCCAGAAAACTATCGTCATAAAGTGCACACTCTCCCGCGTAGTTATGCTCGTCTGCGCCTGATTCTTCCCAGTCTCATTGGCGCTCGCTGTCTTTTATCTCGCCAAGGTCTCTTTAGGCTGGTGTCAGAGTCCGCGATCCGTCGCAGGTTTCGCTGATTTCAGCGATTTTCGCGATTTGCGCGAAACCTGCGATGGATCACAGGAGTTGGAAAGTGCCCGATGATACTGCGAGGTGCTGTTTAATCCTGCTGCGAATCTGCTGAATTTTGCTTGGCAGTAAAGATGATTGAAAGTCGAAACAAGTGGAATCATGAGGGCAGTCGTCATTCAGCCTTCACTACCAAGCAAAAAAGTGCGCGCGGCAATGGAAACACCTTTGCAGTTTGATGGGGCTACCTTGTGGTTACCGTGACCCCGTTGCCACAATCGCGTAAGTCACGCCAGATCGCGAAAATCGCGACCCATATCGGCGGAAATCGTGAATCAGCGAAACCCGCACGGAGCGGCGTCTCTGACACTGGACTTAGGTCTGTTGATCATTTCGTAGGGAGGACCTTTGCCTTCGAGCGACTTTCGGCTGGATTCGGCCTTTTTTCATAACTAATCGTAGTTTGCAAGGCAGAAATGGGAAATGGCAGAGTGGTACCACTTCTCACCGCTATCTTTGTCGAAAAAAACAAACAGTAGAGGGTGCAGCGCACATTTTGCTAACTAACATCTTAGGCAATACGCCACCTGACGTAAGGGATGCCTTGTTGCATACCGCAAAGAGGGCCCACTTTGGGCCACTCAGAACGTTGTGCGGAGTTAGTATATTAGCTTCAGCACTCAATATTCATTCGTTACATGTCTCGTCTAATATTAATGAACGTTTTTTTTACTCGTAGATAATGCACAACAATGATGTAGGCCTTACACTTGCCAAAACTTTTGGCCTCTGTTTTACGTCTGAACATGGGTGAAGCTCGCACCTAGGTGAAGAATTGGAGATTTTGAGTTTTCTTTCAGGGGCACAACCTAGGAATGACGGCCACAGAGCGGTATGCAGTATGTTGTTCTGCCTAGTTGAATTTTCAACATGTCATTTTCACAACGAATGCCGTTATTTTACTGCAGAGCAAGACTAATTAGTCCTCAAAACTGGACAAAAATAAAATAAAAACAATATCAGTCCACCCAACACTTAACTGATCCACTGCTTACATTTGTGTTCTTTGACTGAACCAGTTCTCTTGGGTTATGCCGAAAAAGCAAGCATTCATGAGACCTTCAAGCATGTGTGAGGTTAGGTGAAAGGGGTGGTACACAAGGAGGAGTAGGGTGCAGCACAAGAAACCGCTTACAGACTTGCGCGAATCTCGTTGTCCATGTGATCATCACTAAAACAAGGCTGATCCCTCTCAGTTCTTTTTCGAAGTCACAACTAGCTAGAAACGCATCATGCAAATCCGTTCGCCTAACCTTTGAGAATTCATAAGATTCGTTTCGTCGTGTAAGCGAAGAGCTTATCTGGGTGTTGTTGTGGTAACCAAAGTGCACTAATGGCAGCTAATTGTTAGAGCTGTTTTACTGGTGAGTTAGATATTTATAGTCTTGACACTAGAAATGCCGACAAATGCCTGAGCAAATGATGAATCGGGTCAGCAAGTGATGGCGACGGCCAGTCAGTTGCTGCCGCAACTCAGACTCCCACATCACTCACGCAGATCTGTGCCGATCGAAGAAGTACTCGTTCACATCCTGCATGTAGTACCGCTCACGTTTCGATTTGCAACCCAGTAGAGTGTCCGGAAATCTGAAGATGTCAAAAATAGCTATAAAAAAGAAAGAAGCAAAAAAGAAATGGAACGGATACAGAATCGGGGTCTATTCCAGTTAGGGGGCATCATGATGCAGTTTTCCCAAAAAGCTAGGGTAACTCTGAGCCAGGGGGAGTGTAGCCAGTCTAGGGGGTGGGGGGTGAGGGCAGTCACTTGACATGCAGAGGGCAGTCACTTGACATGCGTGAAAAGCTGGAATGTTCGAGTTCACACTAGCTCGCCGAGAAACTGCATCATGATGCCCCCCCCTAACTGGAATAGACCCCAAATTTTTAAAAATTAGATAAATTAGAATTATTTTGCGCGAAG